ATCTAATGACAATTATTTTTTACAATATGCTTGATTCGTGTGGTTTTTCACCAAATGTTTATGGAGTGACTGTGGCAGCTGGGAGCTGGGGGAGGGGATGATCTGGGGGCTGAGTTTCTCTTTTCCCCTCCCTCCCTCCTCTTCCCTCTCTCTGTACCTACCTTCCCCTCTCCCCTCCCAGCTTTGCTGTCTCCCGCCTTTGCTAGGGACCACCCCCCGCTGCATCTCCATTCCTGCAAACGGGTCTCCATCTCCTTTCCCCTCTTCCCCTCCTGTCCCCGTGGGACCTCCCAGTTCCCAGGTAAGCCTGAGCATGAAGCCTCTGATCGCTGGGACAGCGGGTTAGAGTTCTGATCAGAACCCCCTAACTCTGTCATGCGCCTTCCAGCCTGTGCTTGACTTGGGTGGGGAGGGGAAACTTCAGGCTGGGGAGAGAGAGGAGAAATATTGTTAACGAACCCACAGGGGCTTCACTGTCGCTCACCACACAGAAAGCCAATTACTGAGACAATGACAATTGTCAGAGAAGAAAGGATTTATTGCAGGAGATGTGTCAGCTGGGAGGTGGGAGGTATGGACTGCCTCAAATCTGCCTCCCGGACCAACAGGGTCAGGACTTTTTTCTGGAGGTGAAATGAATAATTCATGAGGAGAGTGAGCATCATTACACATTTGGGGTGGAGTGCAGGGCACGCAAGCGCAGTGAGAAATCAGGCTAGTACATACATCCCATGATCAAAATATGGAGTAGTAGTATAGTGAGCTTAGTAGTGTAATGAGCTAGGGGTTAATATTGGTCATTCTTTCAACCTTGTACACAGGTGGGATTCGGGCAGTAGGTTGCTCAGTAGTACCTTGGCCACAGTCTGTGATGGGTGTTGCTTATCTTGGTTTCTGTACAAACAGGGGGTGTAAGGCTTTGTAGTTATCTCATGGCTGCAAGGAGGCTCTGTGGTTTCTGGAAAAGAAACTCAAAAGGGAATTCATCAGTGCAACACAAAGTTACAAAGTTCTGGTCAGCAAATCTTACTGGCCTGGGAATTTGAAACAGAAGAAAACTACAAAAAAAAAAAAATCACACACAACACTATGAAAAAAGTTTTCTTGCTTACGGAGGCAATTACAATATTTCACCATAGTTTCCTGCTCAGCTTTCTCAGCTATCCCCTCCCACCGCCCCTGTAGGAGGAGGTGGCCTGACAAGGAGGAAGAGGTTGGGTCCAGGGGAGCCCAGCAGGAGCTGCAGAGTCCCCAGAGCCCTGGTCCAGTCCGAGGGCTGAGGCCTTTGCAGGCCCAGAGGTAGAGCCTGCAGCTGGAGGGTCCCACACAGGCCAAGGACGCCCTGTTCCTCCCAGGCCTCCTGCTTCCCTGAGCCTCCTCCCTGTGCCTTCCCCAGCAATTCATCCCACACAGCTGGGGGCGGCTGCACTGAAACCCCAGCTCTGGTTCCCCCTCCCTAGGGCTTTCTGGCTCCCTCACATCCCTCCCCACACCCCAGCTCAAGAAGAGGACCCATGGCCTGGGGGGCCACACGCCTGCTATGGCCTGTCCTACTGGTGCTCCTGGCCTCAGGTGAGGGGCAGGGGAGGGCCGAGGGAAGGGGAGGGGTGAGAGCAGGGGAAGATGGATAGACCAGGTGGGCGTGACAGGGGCTGTGTGGAGGGAGGGCAGGGGACAGGGTGGTGCCATGGCCGGCGCTGTGCTCTGGAGCACAACCTGAATGTAAGCACAAGAGCATTGCCCCTGAGGAGGGAGGTCCCACCTCCCAGCCCTGTGGCAGCAGACGGGGGGGCTCCTGACCTGAGGCCTTATTTTCAGCTTCCTAGGCACAGAAGACAGAGTTTCTGCCTGCCCTGAAGGGTGAGACTGTCTCTGCGAGGTGCCGGCACCAGCAATCCCAACGTTGGCAGGTGAAAAGCTGGTGCAGGCAGACAGTAGCCAGGACATATACGGTCGTCGTGGACAGTTCCAGGACAGCGTCTGGGAAGCCTCGCTTTTCCATCCAGGACGATGGCTCCTCTGGCGTCTTCACCGTCACCATGACTGAACTCAGGGTAGAGGATTTGGGGTTCTATTGGTGTGTAATCTACAAATTTCCTGAGATCTCTATTCTCAGAGTCATCCATCTGGTGGTATCTCAAGGTGAGTTCCTTCCCTTTTGGTGTGTGCATCTCAGACATCTTGAATCACAGGTGTTGGAGCTGGAGAGGACCCTGGAGATCCTTTCCTTCAACCCTCTCATCGCCAAACACTGGGGCACAGAGAGGAAAAGCCCCTTGGCCCGAGGGCAGAACCAGCCCAGAACCCAGGCCTGCTGGCTTCTAATTGGTTCTTCCTTCTTCATCACACGTATTCGCTTAACATTTTTGGTGTTACTAACGGGACTCCTCCATTTACCTGGAATGACGTTAAAGCTTCCCACGCTTGAGCACAGCTGGCTTGATGCCCCATTCCTGGACATCCCTGCCCCTTCCCCTAACCCCCAGCCTCCTCTCACAGGGATGTGGGGTCCGTCGTACAGCAGGGTCACAGAGTAATGGGGTGGGGTCGAGAACTGTGCACAGAAGGGAGACGTGAGACTTAGGGGGTGAGGCTGGGCAGTGTGGCTGCCTAGGGCTCAGGGGCCCTGGGTCCTCCCCCGGGACTTGCCGAGAACAAGTGAGACTCCTTAATCTGCAGAATGGGAAGTGGGAGGTACCTCTAACCCGAGGACCAGGTATCCCTCCTGAGGATGCAGAGCTGCCCCGCCCCCTGCATCTTTCCGTGGTGGTCGGGCCTGAGCAGCACCTCCCGGGCCCTCCCTGCTGCCGAGCCTGCCCTGCCATGTGGTCACATGGGCTGGGGCACCTAGACCAGCCGCTGGCTTCACTGCCTGTTCCATGCAGGGCACGGGGCCAGGCTAGGCTCCGGAAGGGCCTGAAAACCTCGCGATCCCATTCTGAGCCGCACGAGCCCACAGCCCAGCCAGAAAGACAATGTGAACAAAGGGTTACGACGCGGCTGGTAGGTGGCATAAAGGAAGCATGCTGGGTGGAGGCCCAGTGAAAGGAGGGGTCAGGTCACCAGACAAGGCCAGGGGTCTGTCCGCTCACCCCAGGAGGACTCGACAGAGGAGCTGACACCACCTGGGCCTCGTTGGGTGAGCAGGGATTTATCCAGAGGAGACACAAGCGGTGGTGCAGGAGGCATTAGAGGTTGCAAGTGCATGGCATGTTCAAACACAATGAAAACAGAAGAGACTGGAGAATGTATCCAGTATACATGCGACTATGTGACACTTCATTTAAAGCCACTCATACTGTGGCCCTTCACTGGGCAACTCCAGCAGAACTCAGCCAACACCTCCATTCCTTTGCAGGGCTTCTCGGGCTTCTCAGAGTCCTCGCTTGCTCTGGGCCACGTGTGGGTGCCTCCCACCCGGGACAGGGGGCTGGAAGAGGGTTCTTCCCTCAGTGTCATCTCTTACAGCTTCAACACTAGCCACCACCAAGGGCACCAGGAGCACCAGGAGGGCAACGGTCCTGGCCTCTGCCACCAGCCCTGTCACTGACAGGTACTGCACCCCCACCCCTGTCCTCCCAGCCCTCTTTTCCTCCCACCCTCTGCTGACTGTGCCAGATGCCCCCAGCTACCACACTGCCACAGATACCCAGCTCTCAACGGGAAGGAATGGGGGCAGACAGGTCACCTCAGGTCACTTCGCCTGAGCCTCAGTTTTCTCATCTTCAAAATCGGGTTAATAACATTCCCACCTTACGTCAGGGTTTCTAGTCCTCGGGACTATTGACATTCGGAGCCAGGTAATTCTTTGTTGTAGGGGGCTGTCCTGTGAATTGTAGGATGTTTAGCAGCATCTCTGGCCTTTACTCATTAGATGCCAGTAGCACAAACCTCCCGACCACCCAGATGCGACAACCAAAAATGTCTCCAGACACTTTCAGGTTGTGCCACAACCACCTGCAGTTTGGAACCGCTGTCTTACAGGGTTACAGTGAAGATTAAATGAGAATGTGGATTTGAATGGCCCAGCCCAGTGCCAGCACAGGACCAGGGCTGCTTCTTTCACCTCTGCCCGCTTCCAGCCCTTCTCTGCCTTTCTGTAAGAGCAGGGAGCTAGCCCAGAGCCACCGCGGGTCTGGGGAAAGGGCACACTGTCGTTACTACAACCTGGGGCCTGCTTTCCTTTCCACCCCTGCCTGATGGTGCCCAGCACGGGGACCTGCCTCTGTCCTCCCCTCCCCTCTCTCTACCTACTATCGCTGCGCACCGCGAACCCTGGGCTTTTGCAAACCTCAGCTCCTCGCTTCAAGAGGTTAAACCAGACACCAAGTGGTGCTGATCACCTGAGCTGAGAACTGTCCCTAAACCGCTTCCTCTCCCACTCTCACCCATGACAGCCCAGACACCTTTCCTGAGAGGTGGTGCAAGGAAGTCTGCCTCCATGTTCTTCCTTTGCCTTGAGACAGGACCTGTTAAAATGCACTCGTCATCTGGCAGAACTGTTTGTCAGTGTGCCCTGCACTCACCGCACCTCAGAGAGAAGGGTCGAGGTTAAGGAGACGGAATAAGAACGGTGGAGGGAAGAATGCTGGGAGAGGTGAGTGCAGACCCTGCAGCGGGGCCCCGAAGGAATGTTAAGGAATGGTAGTCGGCAAAGGGAAAGAAACAAAGACTTGAGACGGCACCAAGGAGGAAACCAGCCCACGATGGAATGGCTCGCCCGAGGCTGCACGGCCTGGCGGGGCAGAGCCCTTGACCCTGTGGCCGCCTCCTGGTCCGCTGAGCAGGAGGGGACTTCAGGGGAGGCCGCAAGCTGGGGAGGGCCTGTGGTGACGACAGGGCAGGAGGTTGGGCTGGGCTCTGACCTTCCTCACCTGGCTGGTCCCATTCCAAAGCCCTACGGCAAACCACAGGTTCATCACCCTGGGCGTGACCGTGGCCATCCTGCTGCTGCGGGTGCTGACGCTTGCTCTCATCTGGGTCCTGTACCTCAGGAAAGCCCGAGGAAGAGCCGGGAAAGGTGAGCTGCTGTCGCTGGCTCTGGGCGGACACGGAGTGCTTAGCCACTTATTCAGCGGCCTCACAGCCCTGGAGACAAGGCTTGTCTCCTCACTTTACCAATGAGGAAACTGAGGCCCGAGGGGTGCAGGGGCCAAGATCCCCTGTGAGTCCCAGATGACTCTCTTCTCTTCCCGTTGCCAGAGTGGCAGTCTGGGCAGTGCTGCGGGTGGACCAGTTCTCTTCAGAGACCCAAGGTCAGCTCACTCAAAGCCAGTGCACTCAGCGAAAATTTGCCTGGAACTAGGTGTGCTAGTGTCCATTTTGGACCATGTATTTTTGCCATCTTTTGAGTTAAGGCTTTTAAAACAAATTTATGTAAAGACCTTACGGTTAATGGCATTTTTTTTAATTGTTGCTATCCTTTTAAAATTTTGTCTCCCTAAAAGGACTTCAAGGACTTTTTAATTTTCAAAGTTTTAAGTTTTTAG